AGGAACCTAGTAGTTTTCTAAACAGTTGGGGTTTTTGTTTTTAAATTGAACTTTTACATGCAAATAGAAGGCAAATGGGTTTAGTTGTTCATTGCCCTCTTTGATAAAAGCGAGCATCCAGAGATGGTACTAGCCAGAAAACACAGGAGGTGGTCAGTCACAGCGACAAGGCGGAACTCCCTTTCTTGGGCTGTTGAGGACAGTAAAATAGCGTGAGTTCCCGGCTAGACCTGCTGGAGGTCGAGAAATGCATTGAAACTGTCTCCGAGCTGCAGACTGCTGGAGAAGTGGCTACGGATATTCCAGAGAAATAATATAGGTGGTTATTTGTGGTTTTTTTGTTTAAATCTGTCATGTTTTACGCTAGGACACCAGGAGAAAAAAATGCAAGCGCCAAGTCAGGGTGTCCAGTGAGGGTCCCTGGCAGGTAGAGCCCACTTTGACACACCGGCACAACCTGAGGTGCTGTGGAGCTGCACCTGCCTGCTGAGCACTTGCTTATTCTCCATCAATCCGGCTGGTCCCTGAATGCTCCCTGCCTGGCATCTCACAGGGCAGAGCGGGAGGGGAGCAAGAGAAATTTGGCTAGGAAACCTCACTAATTAATGTTATTGTTAATTGTATGCATACTGCAGTGGATGCCCGGTGTCTTCATTCTTTGTTCCAGACGCTGCCATTTAAGGTAATGTGAGGGGGTAGCTTTTGAGTATCTTCACTTTGTTACTTGTGCGGAAAGTGTTCAGTGTGCCCTAATAGGCAAGAATAGCAGTGTGTTTTATCAATAACAGGTCACTGTCCCTTCTCCTCACCTCCCATGGGAGCTACTGTCATGTTCTCACTGGCAACAATCTTAATTTTTTTCAAAAAAAACCCCTTTAAGTGGCTGCACTTCAGAGAGTAGAGAATACAGCTCTGTTTTAAAGATCTGTTAAAAAAAAAAATACTGAGTAGTAGGCATAAGTGTCTGACCAAAAAAGGCTTGACTGATAATTTTTTTTTTTTACTCTCCAAATGGAATTTGGTAAGGATGGTCTTTGAACAAGCAGGTTTTTACTAATGATCTTACTCCACTTGTGAAATGCAGGAGCTATAATAAAACACCAACGCTGGCAGTTCCCAGGGTATCCAGGGATCACAGCAGATCTAGGCTTATTTCATTAAAAAATCATTTGAAAAATGCTGCTCTGGTGGTATCAAAGCATCAATTCTGCTTTGTGCTTTAATCTCTTCATAAGAGATTCTTTGCCATGTGGTCATGTAAATCAAGTGGGCATTTCCCAGTTCTGAGGCAACTTGAATTTCTGCAGGCAGCTTCCTCCTAGCTCGGTGGGATCGGGATCGGTAGCCGAGCCCCAGCCCTTGCCTCCCCCCCCCCGCATGCGTACAAAGCCAGTCACACCGCGCCAGAATATTGTTTGCTCTTATGAGCAAATATTGTGGTGTGACCTAGTGTTTTGCATTTAAAATAAATCAGAAAACGAAATGAAAAAGTGTGAGTTCTTTGGAATTCTCTTCTCCTGTCACCCTGTGATGAGCTCATGATGGTGTGCCTGACCTCGGAACTAACAGAGGAGTTCTCTTTGGGAGCTCCTCTGGGGGGGGCAGTGGGGTGGTGGTTCCCTGGGGTTTGGGGAGGTGATGCATGCAGAGATAGCGCTAGTTCCCTGAATATTTCATGCTTTTTTGCAGTGTAGTGTGAGAAAACTTTTTTTTTTTTCCAGAGCTTTATACATTGCTTTGCAATCAACTCAATAAAATGATTGAACGTCAGGAATTTGTGATGGAGAGCATCCAAATGGCAGCCCTCCAGCGTGTAGGGCTGGTAGCTCTGGGTTTGCAGCTCTCGTGAGCGTGCCTTCCTCATTCCAAAGCCGTTGCTGGCAGTGCCAGGTGTGTAATACAGCCTTGCCCCTTAGCTGGTGCTTAGGAATGGTGCTTCACAGGATGAAACTGTTCAGTAAAACATCCTCGGGAGAGGCTGGTTGTGTTCTTTGCTGCCAGAACTCCTCGATAGCTCCCCAGTTTGCAAGGCTGTAGCTTTACAGCAGTGGTGTTGAGTGCATCTTCCAGTCTTGCTGCCTGTTCCTGGTGATCAACAAGTCATCTCCGACGCTGTACTAATTGCTTGATGATTGCACTGCCTGTTCTGAAAAAGGCAGTTGACAAGAGTGGAAAGATCATGGGATTGTGGCACACAGACCGTGCTGCTCCAGCGTGTGCCCTGGCAGCGCGTGGGGACTGCTCAGGCTCATGAAGCTGCCCAGAGGAGTGTGGAAGCCTTGTGCTGCTCTGCCAGGCAGCTTGGAGGGCGATTTTGCTGTATAAAGAAATGACTCACAGGACAATATAGGTGGATATTTACAGTTTACCACGTATTTCACCAGGAAGCAATTCCACCTGTGTGCTGTCCTGCCATATGTAGAGATAAGCTCCAGCGTGTTTATTAACTTTCTTTACATTGCCGTTTGTTATATGACAAGGCTTACAGTTCAGACAGCACTGGGAGGGTTGTCTCGCACGTACGTAGCTCCAGCAGACACAGGACTGCTGATGTTTCTTTCCTGTGCAGAGTTCATCGGGCTACAGAGATTTTCTTTTATACACCCCAACTGCTTTGGAAGGGATCTGAGAAACAGGAACAGTACAAATAGGTCTAGACTCCAGGAGGACACAGCTCGGAAAGAGCTGGACTTGTGCCATGGTTTGCGGAGTGTGTTTTTTTGCATGTGTAGGTGGAACAGATCCCATGAATCATAAAGAAGTTTCTTCCCTTTCAGTCCTTAAGATGAGGGACGTTTGCTGTCAGCTGAGCCGTTCTGGATATAAATTCTGTCACTTTTCTCTGAAACTCAGAATCGCCAAAATGAAAGATTGGGTGATAAAACTGATACTATCTTCAAATCAAATTCCTGTTAACAGGCAGGCAGCCCTCCCCCAGCCCATTGCGAGTCAAACATTTTATACAATGAGCAGAAGCAAGGCAGTGGGAGGGCTTTCTATATGATGAATTCTGATAGATGAAGGTTTGAAAACAACCCACAACCTCCCAGGATCTCCTTTGTTTGTAGCACTATCAGGTTCCAGGAAAAGAACTGCGTTAGAGTGGAAGACAAGAAAAAATTTGGTTGTTCTTGCCAGTGGCTTTGCAAAATAGAGGAAGATGCTTTTTCATTAATGTTCAACAAGTCACTCTCTTTGTCTCTCTCCTGGTCTGTCTGATGGGGAGTTGGCAGGATGGAATGGAAAGCCTTGGCGGGTGGTTTTGTGTTGTGCTTCTGCGTGAAGTCCCCACCGCAGGGGCTACTTGTGCTTTTGAAATGAGGCATGGGAAGTCCAACACAGGCTTTCATTTAGCTGAGTATTGTTCTTTGTGCATCCTGTAGCTCGAATGCCTTAAACGTCATGGTGGGCAGCGCACACGTGTAATGGGTTCTCCAAAGCGTGGCTCTAACAGGCTGAGAGGGCTCTGTAAGGGTCCCTCTGGGAGTTCTTATTGTGTATGGTATTTCAGAGCAGTATGGTCAGGGTTCTCAGGTTACCACAAGGTTGCATCATCTGCCATTCTTTGTTTTTTTGGGAAAAGTCTTGTGAAGTGGCTGGGCGTTCCCCCATAGGCGGGAGCCGTGGCCGCGGTGCCTCGCCGCCTCCAGAAACCCTCTTGGCTGGGGCCGTGTGCCGCGGGGCCAGGTTTGCTGCCAGCGCTGCCCGCCTGTGCGAGGGACCAGCCAGGGTGTTGCAGTCTGGCACAAACACCGCTCTCGACGGAGCGCTCTGCTTCAGAAGGAGCCTCTGTTATGTGAGTGGAGCTGTTGGATGTGTGCCTCGGTGTACGCTGTGTTCTGCAGAAAATCACCATTTCAGCAGTTCTTGTGTGGCCGTCGTTCCTGAAGTTATAACCACATGCCTCCACCCGCATGGGACAGATTGAACCTGACGGTCCAGAGTTTGAGTGACTCTTCTAAAAACAAAAACATCACGTGAAACATTTTTACAGAAATGAAGAATTTGATAAAAGAGAGGGTAGAGGTGGGTGGAGGAAGTCTTAAAGTAGGGGGATATGTCTTTTTTGGTTTGTTGTGGCAGGAAGGGTAGGTAACTGACTCAGACACTGAGCTTCAGAATCTGCGTGGGAGCTGTCCCAGCCCCTGCGTGTGTGTCCCCTGCGCCAGAGTGGGTGTGCTTGTACTTCATTTTGGTATTCCGAGAGATGATTCTGACCCCTGAACCAAGAGTGACAGCCCCGTTTCAGCACCCTTTCTAGAGGTACCATTTATATCGATCATGAAACTACAAGAAAAATAATTACAGCATCAGTGTTGCCTGGTGATGGTTGTGGATTTTTTCACCCTTTCTCAGTCTGTTCTACGTGTGCATCCTTCTCTTTTTTCTGCTATGTTTTGTCTTTACATATGTCTATATGTAAGAACAAGACAAAGCATCTTAATGACTTTCTGTACATGCATTTCTTACTTATTGTAACTGCCATTTTCTTCTTACGAAAAATACCAAATTAAAAGCTGTTGTGGAAGTCTACTGGCGTCAGATTCTCTCTTAAAAATAAAATGTGTGTTATGAATATTAGGTAGCATCATGTAGAAAATTTCCTTTACATATACATTAGGTAAAAATTGGTTTTGCCAGTGATGCTGTGTGTATATTTTTATACCCTTACGCTTTGACATTGGAAGTTCACTGTCTCCTCTGCAGTGTATTTATTTTCGTCCTGACAGAATCAACTTTTTTGATAGAAATATGTTCTGGAAATAAGTGTAAGTCCTTGTCAGCAAAGCCTAAATACAGCGTTTAGGTTGGTGGTATCACTTATAGATAACTAAATATACATGACTTCTATTTACAAGAACTTTGTGTACGTCACTCTGATAACCCTTTACGTACATTGTCTTTATCATGAAACCAAACGCACCTGAGTCTTTGCAGTCTAAACCGCCTCTGCCCTGCTGAGTGCCAAAGTTTATAAAACCATTTCTCCCTTTCAGATCAAGCTGCAGAACAACATATCGTATCAGATGGCAGACATACATCGTTTAAAGGGTAAGGAGCTTATGGCCAAATGGGGATTTGGCAGACTGACGCTGTGTATTTTTTAACTGCCTGGGTGCTGCAGAATACATTTTAAATGAAAGCTCCAGTGGTGCTGGAACATTGTTTAATGTGAAATTTCATTATATCTGTTTATTACCTCTGGAGAAGTGTAGGGTTGGCTCTCGTAGACTTTGCTCCACTCTCTGCAGAAATAACAGGTATTCTGGCACTGCTTATTGCCAAGAAATACACCGTTCAGTGCAGTTTGGATCAGCAACACTGTGATACTGCACAGGGTTAGAAAAGGTCCAGAGAACATATTTTAAGGCTGTTCTGTACAGATGTGATTACAGTGCGTGTAACCTTACTGGATGGGTTTCAGAGTGACCTGGAGCAGCTAGTGCCCGAGGGTGAACGTGCTGCAGACACCACGCTTGGCACTTCTGCCTGTATCTGTGGGGTTGCACCTTAGAATAGTAGGAAACTTAACAATTATTTGTAGCCTGAGGAGCAGGGAGAAGAACTTCAAGAACAGTTGTGAAGACAGGAAGTATGTGTTGGTTTTATGGATAATGTGAAGGTACCTTCTGTTGTACAGAAAAATAATATTTTAGCATCATGCCTAGTAGTACTTCCGTGTTACTCAGAATAACAGAATCTTTCAGGAAATTAAGGAGATTTCCAACAGATAGGTGAAGTAGCATTGGGTGAATCTTCTGAGTGAAAAGGGAAAGAAAAATTTAGGGATTTTGGCATAGTGTTAGAAGAATTGTTCTATAATTCATAGGGGCATCTGGCATACATGACTAAATTGGCATCTTTTCAAGTTAGTTTAAGAATCTGTAAAGTCTATCTAGAATAAATAAACCTCGAGCAAATTTTTAACTCCTATGGTAATATTGAAAGTTATATCCACTGTGGGGCATTTTTCTTATATTGCTATATTCATGTGGATTTTTGCTTTTTGGTCTAGAACAACTAGCGGAATTACGTCAGGAATTCATTCGCCAGGAAGATCAGCTTCACGAGTACAAGAAGAACAATACTTACCTTACAAGGAGATTGGAATATGATAGGTATGTCTTCAGGAATGCTAGTAACTGTAGGTTGGTGCATGTGTCATGGAAGTCTGTATTTATTAAAAAATTTAAATTAATCCTATTTCTGCTTATCCTTAAACTGGAGTATACTCACTTGGTGATGTAACTTTGACTTAGCTCGTTGTTTGATTTTAACGTTCTATTTTTTTGTGTTGTTCTGCTCCTCCCTCCAAAGTGAGATATGATCTAAGAAGATCTGACTTACTGGAATTCTTCAGTGTTGGGACGATTTTAAGTCAATGAATTTTTTATAACATGGAGATCCTAGTTAACAAACGCTTGGAAGAGTTTAATCGACACAGTTCTGTAAGCTGCCAGGGTTGTTAATTGCTCTCTGTCTAAAAGTGTAATTTTATTCTTTCAACTGAAGCTGAAAGCATTGTGTAGATCGAAATTTTAAGTTGACCTCAGCCTTTTCAGTTTATGATGGCGAAGCAGGGAGAACAGCTACTTCTGAAGCTTTGAGGAATGAGGGAGATAAACACTCGAGAAAATGCTTGATGCTTTCACACACACAAATATATTCTTCACTCTGTGTGCTGTGCTGAGTATTTGCGGTTTTGTGGGAGACAGGAGCTTTGTTGAAGTGGGTTGATCTCTGTGTGGCTTGTTAGAGAAGTTGGGTCATTCAGACCGTGTTATTTGAGTTGGTAGCAGTAACTGATAGTAGTTGTGCATCGGTGTTGACAACCATGGGAGATACATTGCTTTCCTAGTGGAATTAATGTGTGCTGATGACAGATTAACTGTGAAGCTTGACTTGCCAGTTGCTTTCCAGGTTTTGGAGGAAATATATTCAAGACCATTCTGTTTATTTTACTGGTTTTCCGCTCTGTCCCTATTTTATCCAGTTCTGCTTTCTTTCTGTATTCAGTCCATTTCCACTCCATACACATTCCAGGACCAGACTTTTTGGACAGACTATTCTAGTTGTATCTCAGGTTTGGCTTTTTGTGCCACTTCATATGTTTCCCTTTGTTTTATTTATGGGACAGCAGATACAACAAATGAAATACAGCTAATAATGTGTTTCTAATCAAGTCTGCAGTGTGGGCAGCAGATCAAGGAAATGAGACTGCAACATGAAGAAAACATAAAGAAATTAATGGACCAAATTGCACGGGAACAGAAGGTAATGCCCAGCTAAGTTTCTTTGTTGAATGGGAATAGCCTGAAGTCTGCTGTTTGTTTGACTCAGCATTTTAGATGTATGGAGGCCTTGGACACTTTTCCCCTAACTTTTTGTTAAACGTCATTCTGAGCAGCCCTAAATGGGTGTTAGTGTAGGAGCTGGTTTACTCAGTCAGAAGAAGATCTGGCTTAACTCTTTGCTCTGCGACAGCTTTCCCACATGACATCATTGCCAAGGATCTCCGTTTCTTCTCTGTAAAATGGATATTACTTTATAGCTCTCCAGGGTAGGATCTGTGTTCTTGCAGCCTGATGTAGGTTATTGCAAAGGGGAACCTGATCTCTCCTGAGGCCTCGAGGTGCTAATGTGATGCAAATAACAGTGGTGTTTGAGTGGTGTCAGGGTGTAATTACATGGTGCAAGCTGCCAGTGGAATATGGCCTTTTTCCTACAAACAGATGAAATAACCTGCTTTTCTTAAAATTTCATTTCCTTCCTTTCTCTGCTTATAAACATTTCAAATAATAAGGCAGACTTGAAGTAGATTTCAATCAGATCTTTCTTAAAATCTACAATTGTTTCAAAGCCTCTGACCTGAGGCTTAAGGCCTTAACAAGTTTGCTTTATACTGAAGAGCTGCATGCGCCAATATCAGGGTCATACAGCCATGCTGAATTTTACATTTTCTGTTCAGTGATGTGGCCACACTCTCATCTCCTACCCTCAGGACTTCTGCTTTCTGTTGTTTGCTTTGGTGATCAGGAATTCATAAATGCAGTTTTGCTTACCCAAAGCAATCCTGAATTTGAGGGGGTTTGTTTTGTCATTTTCAGGGATGTGCTTAATATTGGCTTCTTATGAATTTGTTCTAACAGGACACACAAAAAATCCAGTCCAGTAAAGACACTGAAGTAGGTCCCAATAATGATGACCAGGCAATACCGAAGAATGTTCCAGAGGCAGAAGATAAAAACCTGGTAAAGAATGAGCAGCCTTCAGATCATGTTGTAAATGGCAAAGGTATTTCCTTTTTTTCAGTGATTTCTGATAGATAATGAGCCAATTGTGTTGTATCCTTTGCTATCATATGGAATTGGGCATTTCTCTGAAGTAGAACAACAAATTGTTTGGCTGAGATAACTTGATTGGCTGCATGCAATTGTACTCAGTTGAGTTCATAGGTATCCAGAGACTGGCGTGTCCTTTCTCTGGGTCCTTTTGTAAAAGTAGTTTCTTGCACAGTTTTGAGTTCACTTTGTTGGTTCATTTGCCATCTCCTTCCTTGTGTGGCCAGTCGTGCACTGGGGTTGCCTCTCCACTCCCTGTGAGATGTGTTTTGGGGTGAGCTAGGGCAGGGGCATGTTGCTGGAGAGCTGGAACCTGCACAGAGCAGGTGGCTGGAGGTGGGGAGCGTTGAAACCACTGGGAGAAGGGTCCAGCTGGGTAAGAAAGCAGGAACGTGGGGACCGTTGGTTATCAGGAGCTGTACAGGAGGCTCTCACTGTGTCACTGTTGCGGTGGTTTCCTCCCTGTAGGCCTCTCCGAGAGGCAGATGGCTTCCCTTTGTTTCTACTTCTCGCATTGCTGAATCAGCACCTCTTTGTATCAGTTCAGTGTCTGATCCAGCCAGCTTCTTGCAGCAGGTTTTTCTCACTCAGCTACCAAGGGCAGTGCATCTGTTTCCCATCCTTTCCTGGAGATTGCGCTGACTTTGGGAGCACTGCTCCAAAGCAGTCTTCAGTGACCTTGACAGTACGCTACAAGGAGTGTTGTGGTTGTATCACCAGTATTATTCTGTGGATAGAGGACTTTTCTTCTGGTCTTAGAGCCTTCCACAAGAAGGAAATTCACTGTTCAAACTTACAGGTTAATAAGGCGGAATATCTTATTCTTGTCTTACAGAGAAAATCAAACCAGGAGGAGATGCAGGCATGCCTGAAATCGAAGATAATGACCCTGCTAAAGCTGAAGATACTCCCACTGGTTAGGAGAAATATTACAGTACTTTTACAGTTGGGTTCTTGGTGGTGTATATATTCTGTTTGAATATCCTGTGTTTCATAGTGAATGCAAAGGCTTAAAATCTGTCTATGGTAATAACATTCAAGTGGGGTGTAAAATATGTTAATTTTTACTGTGCTTTAGAGGTTTGAATTCTCAAAACTGAATGCTTCTGATAATATTTATTTTTCCCCAGAGATCTTGTATTTTATATTTTCATCCATGGTTTAAAAACAAGAAAAGAACAACAACGAAAAGTTTACAGGATTGTTAGGAGAAGACCTGATATATAATGTCTGTTTGCTTCATGTTAATGCTTTTGTCTCTGTATTTTATTTTAGCTTTAAAGAAGCCACGTATTTCAGCTTCTAAAAGTGAAGGTCATCAACCTGTTATGAATCTTCCAACTGAACAGCCCCATGCTCCAAATCTGGCACCAGGTAAAGTTCTTACTAGCAGGTGACAAGTCAACCTTTTGTAGGAAACTTATAAAACACCTGCTACAATCTCGTGAGTGTTAGATGGCTGTGGCCAGCCCCTTTTTTGTGTTTGATGTGGTTACAAAAAGGAAAACAACGATCAAGGTCTGCAGGATACAGGATCGAGTGTATTCTTGGTCTGGGCTGTGAGACACTGAGGTTGCTGGTTGTGCGAACTGTTTCCATCCCCCACACCCCCCAGTAACTGCTGAGCCTTTTGACCAACTTCAGACAAATTTGAGAGTTAAGTTTCAAAGATAAGTGCTTCAAGATTTCTGCACTGGACAGAGGAGAGTAATTGAAATTAGTACTTTTTGTCAGGGGTACTAATTAGACAGGGCTGCAAACATATCAGAAGTTAATTGTTGGTTTATTAGCAGACAGTTATACTTGGAGAATAAACAGTGGTACTGTCACTTGCTTGGTGTCCTGTTTCTGTGAGCAGCACTCTTGAGGGTGATGTGGGGGAGGTTTAGGACATGAGCGAACTAAAAGTACAGCAGAGAAAGGGTTTAGATGAATTGCAGTTAGAAAGGGCACAAATCTATAGAAAATATACTTAAATTTAATGCTTGTGGATCAAGTCACTTTGCTTTAATGTCAAAGAGAACGTTAGATTATATCTACACGGCAAGTGGTACATTCAAATACTGTCCTGCTAAAAACATTAAATATAACGTACTCAGTATCTGTGGCATGACCAAACAGCTTGAAGTGTTGCATTATGCCCATTATTGGTTATTTTGAAAAAAGGCAACGGAATTATTTTGTAATGTCTTTCATTTTGCAGTGGATGTGTAAACAGATTAGAATACCAAAATTAGTGAGCTCAAAGCCTGTATCCACATTCCAAGTTTATTATTTCCAAATGTCAAATCTTTTAAATAGTTCCTTTCTTTTTGTTGTTCTGAGGTAGGCCTTCATTTTGATTTTTATTAATGAGAAAACATAAAAGATAGCAAGTGAAAAGCTTGCTTCATTGAATTTAGAGTTTATCAACAACAGAATGGGAATTTCAAGGGGACCAGGGTTTTCTGTACTCCTTGGTTATGTAGTCCTGGGATTCTGCTCATTATTTTTAGCGTAACTTCTGTGACCTACTGCAACCTTCTCCTCAGATCATAGCTCTTGAAATGATAAATGATGCTTAGTAGATTTGAAAAGCAGAATCAGCAGGAGGATAAAAAAAAAAACCTAAACGTATTATTGTTCTGGGCTTCATCAAGCATTTAAGTACATACAGAAAATCAGCTGAGAAGGTAACGATTTAGGATTGATTATGTATTAAAATGTGATTGATTAACTTTTGCAATAACATTATAGCCTTTGTTTGGAACCATGTAAAAACGGAACACGCTTTTTCTTTCTGTAGGTTTGCACAGTGACAATGATGGCAATGCTGATATTGCGAAGCAGATACCTCCAAATTCTCTCCAGCACTTAAATTTTGAAGAAAATATGGAAAATCAGAAAGAACACAAAATTGAACCAGACCATATAAAAATTCCAAAGAGCAGAGTTAGTGACTTGCAGAAGATGAAGCAAAGTAAGTTGGCCAATATCATATACTTAAATTAAGAAAATCACTTTATTTTCTGTCTGTAATAGTGCCTGTCTGGAAAATAGGAACCATTCAAGCGGGTGGCCTTCTGCAGAGTCAGCCTGAAAAGAAATGCAACGTGTGACTGTGTAAAAGATACGCCTTCATGTGTCACCTCTCGTATATGTATTCAGTCATTTAAAAAAAAATTATTTGCTAATAGGAATTTAAAATGGTTTGGGAAATCACTACACATTGAAATAGATTAGGGAAAGGCTTTTGATACATGCATGATACCGAGTTACTTTATGCTCACACTGGATTACTGGACTTTAATACGATGTTTTGGACAGTATGGTGAGAATTCAGCCCTTACGTAGCAGGTCGTTGTGGTGGTATATGTGTGTGTTGGCCAGAAGTTTGTTCTTCTGCATGAGGAAGTTTTCCAGAACCCTTCTCTTCTGTGTCTACTGAAGAAAGAAGCCTTCAGACAGGAGCAGACCCTGTGTGTGGTGTGTGTGGTGGTGGTAATGCTGCTGAGGCGCAGTGGGCAGGCAGCAGGTGAGAGCTGGTGCACACATATCCAGCTGGCTGTGAGCGGCTGCTTTTGAGCTGCAGCTCTACCTTGCAGCTGGTACCGTCACCTGGGAGAGTGTAACGCCTACAGCGTTGGATTCAACATCTCCCTGTAGGAACGTTATATTGAAACAAGTTTCTTATGGTATCAGTGGTGATCCTATACTCCTTAATGTAGCAGAGAGTATACTGACTAGGTATACCTTAACCTAGTTATTTTTAAAGAATTAATCTCCATTGTTCAGCGTTTGGGTGGGGAAGGGGCATCTGGAAGAATAAACATAGTGCTGAAACATCTCCTCTCATTTTTTACTCAAATAAGATTTTTCTTTATTATATAGCTATTATAAATTCAACTTGAAATTTCTTTATACTCACAGCTAAGTAGCTTTCACTTAGGCTTTGGTTTCTGTGATTAAAATCTTTCTGTACTCCAAGATGGCAAGTTACTACATCAGAGCAGCCGTCTCCAGAGTCAGGAGAATTGGGAGGAAAAAAGGATTCTATAGCCTCCTGCCAGAAACCGGTGTTAATTCTGTGGGTCAGATAAACAGTGGTACAGAAATAGTCATTTTGTTGAAACAGGATCATGAATTGGTTTCAGTGGTCAGTGAAACGAATTCTGAAAGCCAGGGTCACTCTCAGGAACATGAAACTAGAGCTTTGCTACCTGGGGAGGTAACTGAACAAACTCTCCACCAGTTTGAATGGCATAGGACAAGGGGTTAACCTGGGTTTTTCAAGAACAGATTGTGTCAAAATGATACGATCTGAAGAGTCTATTTAAAGGAACAAAAGCAGGAAAAACAGGAATGGGACTTTGTCGTAGGCAAATTAATGGAGACCTGGTCAGGCGTACATTGCTGTGTGTGGGTGCACTTGGAACGAATATTCCAGGCATAAGGATCACCAGAGCTTCTGTGAGGTTTACAAAGATGTGTCCTTTGCTTGGCACTGTTTGGTATTTTGAGTGCTGGACAATAAACAGTGTGTGAGATGTGGTTTCAGCAACATAAACATTTGTAATTGTAAAATTAGTCTGCAATTAAGAATGGAGAATTACGTGCACAGAGTAAGTGACAAGTAGCAAGTGAGCAGTCAAGAAAGGTGTGGTCAGCAGTGGAGATTAGTCACTAACAGTGTTGGAGGTGAGGTTTTTCTTCTGGGATGTGTTAACAGGAAAGTCAAATAAGAGAAGATGGAGTAACTGCCTCTGCTTTACCTAGTGCTTGTGAGGGCATCCGCAGACTTTAATTATCAAAGATAGATGATGGGAAGCTGGAAGGAATTCAGGGGAGAGGAAAAAAAAATATATAGGGTTTAGTATAGGGGAAAAGAAGCCCTAAAAATACCAGGATGAAGAGGTAGGCAATGGACATCCATTTACTGTTGGGGGTTGGTTTGTTTTTGTTGGTGGTTTGTTTTTTGGGGTTTTTTTTAGAAACAGATCTTTAGGGAAGGTTTCAGTTATTTTAATATCACTCATGGATCTTTCTGATGAAGTGGAGATAGGTGTAGTCAAAGTCTGGCATGCAGCCTGTGCAAGCTTTTCTTCCACTCTCTGTATCCTGAGATCTGCAAGATTCTTTAGCTTATCAAAGGAGCTTCTTGAAGATCCTGTGCTTGGCTGGCTGAATGACTGCAGCTGAAATGAGAGCTTCATATTTTAGTTGTTGGGGTTTTTAAAGGGATTGGCTGCCTGCCCTGGTAGTGGATGCTGGGGGCTAGCTTTGTAGGCAGAGGAATGAAACATCTCCATTGTAGGCTGTGAGTGGGAACCTCAGAGTAATCATTAGTGATTAGTCTTTCTTTTCTCTTCGCTCCTTCATATTTGTAGTAACTTACATTGTACATTGTAATGATGCAAGGAGGGAGAGGCTTTATCACCGATCGAATAGCTCATCCAGGTTTGTAGGAGATTTATTGCCGGATTGATGAGCAGTGGGTGTTCTGAGGGGTCCATTAGTGATAAATTCATCCCTCTGGGGTGGAGGAGCCCAGCTCTGGCCCGCAGCTTTCACTGTAGATGACTGCCTGGCTGGGGGTTTGGTTACTGAGCACTGCAAAACTTGCTGCGCATCAGCCCATGGGGCGAGAGGAGTAACCATCGCTGGGCAGGGCATCTGCCATCTGTCCGGTTTCGGAATCAGGAAACTTCTTTCCAAAAGAGATTTTCCTTTTTAAATCTGCGCTATCAAAGTAAAAAAGGAACTTTGGTAGTAGGTACAGAGATGGGCACATTGTGGCTTTTCGGTTTCAAAAGAAGCAGAACCTGGCAGTGACTGCAGCAGCGTCACTACTTGTGCCCTTACCTGGCACCCTGGAAAAAAGCTGGGCGCAGCAAAACTCCCACCCATGCTGCTGTTTAAAAGTTGGCGTGTAAGCAGGTCCGTGGAGGTGAGCATGGGGACAGCTGCTCCGAGTAGTGTGTTTGTAAGGATCCAGCTGTGAGTAATGCCCCATGTGTCTCTTCAGAATTCATTTCAGCAAATGTTACCTGCAGGTTTTAGCATCAGTGACGTCCCTACGGGTCGTCCCATGCTGTCACTGACCTCCTGGGCTTCATGGCCACGTACCCCCCGTGCCTCACCCAGTCCTTGTGGTGCCCACATTACCGACACCAACTCACATCTGGAGTGATCTGAGAGATCTGCAGCACCATCACCACTCCAGATCCCGTCGGTCTGTTCCAGGAGGCTGTTGGTGCATTGCTGGGGTTGGCTACCAGCGACTCCTGGAGTTTGCCTGAACTCTGGTGTCCCCAGGCCGTTACGTGTGCCTTGTGTCAGAGTGCTGGTGTTCTCCTGGTGTTGCCAGAATGGCTGCTGGCGAGGTTTGTGCGTGCTCAGGGTCTCGGCCTGTCCTCCCTTGGTTTGGGGTAGCTTGAGGTGAAATACCAAACGCCTAAAGCAGAATGAAGCACCTGTAGTGAAGGAGGAGCTGCGTCCCAAAGCTGTGCTGGGACCCGAGCTCTCCAGGGATGCCCTGTGCGCCAGGCTGCTCCCACGAGCTCCAGCTCCCATGCCGGTGTGGGCTCGCTGTGTTTCCTGGGATCTTTCTAATATTTTAATCTTTCCTTCTGCCAGCTTAAATTTATTTAGTGCTTATTTGTCCCACTATTTGTGGCATACCTACACCCTTGTTTTCTCTGGAAGTTAAGTGCATTCAGTTGTCTTTCCGTGGCTTGTTCTACATTTGACATGTGTGAGTTGTGCAGTTCTGTCTGCTTTGCATATATAATGCAGTGTCCAAAAACACCAACAGTAAGAGCAAGGATTATTCAATTAGAGTTGAACAGGGAATGAATAATATATTAAACTTCTGATTTCTAAACAGATCGTAGTTTCATCTTGCTGAATGAAAATGAAAATAACAATAACCAAAACTTCTGTTTCGGTGCATTTGAGCTGCACTAGATGTGATTCTTCTGCCTTCTTCCCCATCCAGATAAGCACTATGTTATTGTTTCTGTCCTGATTTTTATGCCACACGATAGTTTTGTTTTAAGAAATAACTTCATTTTTACATCTGTCCATTGTAACACCATCCGCCTTTTTAATCCTATGTTAAAATCATATTCTTCAGTTTTACTTCTCTGTTTGTTTCCACTGTGAATCCCTGAGCATCTGCCTTGGCAGACTTTTTCTTGATCCGTTTCCAGTCTGTAAAGATCGTATCACACTTCAGTCCTGTTTGTTTCATGTATCCTCTGCAGTCTCAGTGTTGTTTTCTTTAAGCAGTGGGTGAACAGACTCTCCTTGTACCCCATGAGACGCCAGCACTGAACTTGACATCTCACCGTTAGCCTTTCACTGTGTGCGTGGTTCACTGTCCAGTCATTCCGTAGTTCCAGCTCATTCTCATTCTTCTTGTGCATTGTTTCAGGATCTGGAACTATTCTTAATTCTTTGCTGGGAGACAAAAATACCGGATTCAGAACATGTTGAAAACTGTCAACGCTTAATAGGAAACCAGAGTGTAAAGCCAAATTAATTAGGTAGTTAAAAAAATCTGTTCAGAGATGCAAGGCAGATCTTTGCCAGACTTTTACCCTTGACGGTACGGTGCACATGCTGCAGATGTTGCCGTATACGAAGGCAGGAATGTGTTGCTGTTGTTTGTAGAAGAATGCCAGTCCTCCTCAGAAAAAAGTCGAGACACAAAAACTTTCACTGTATGCTCTGCAGCATTTTAAGAAAACTTTTATTAGCATAGTGTTTGTAGGTAATAAAAGATGGAGTTTTTTGTTTGGATGCTTACCCTAGCTCTCTTCTCCAGAGAGGGAAGCTTATAACAACCAGATTTCACAAGATCCAAATGCTGAATGACCGAATACGTCATTTTTGCACAGAGGTGTTCGTAAGCCGTGGTGTTCTCCCCCTGCCCAAGCCCTCTCCCCTCTGCCCCCTTTTCTCCTCCAGCTGAAACCACCACAAAAACCCGACTGTCTTAACCTGCAGGCTGCTTTCGTTGAGAATCTTCCTGTTTCTTTCCTCTCTGCTTCTGACTTAATCCTTTGCCTACTTCACAGGCCGATTCTTTGATGAGAATGAGTCCCCTGTTGATCCGCAGCAGGGCTCTAAACTGGCAGATTATAATGGGGATGATGGGAACGTGGGTGAGTATGAGGCAGACAAACAGGCCGAGCTGGCTTACAATGAGGAAGAGGATGGTGATGGTGGAGAAGAAGACGTCCAAGGTGAGCTTGGGCCTTATCTCCATCCCATTGTAATACAATCCACGCTGAGTTCACTTGTTGAATTTGTGTAAAGCCTCGCTATTTTTAGCTGATCACAAATTTCCAATCTAGAGTAACTAAGCTTTAGGCAGTCTTTAAATTCGGTCTTGCTCTCCCTTTGAAAGCCACGTTACCGCAGTTTTCAGCGAGAGGGCTTTGATACCTTATTCCAGTCGTGTTTCTGCTAGGAAAATCAAGATGCTTCAAATTTTAGAAATGGTCTTGCCTAAAACCCCAAATCTGGTCTCAGGCTAGCAGGGATGTATTCTCTGGCATTACTAAAGCAATTTCCAAATACAGAAGCACAGTTTTTTTTGACTCCTGCTTTTGTCCCACCTGCCTGGAGGTGGCAGGCAGCGAGGTCTCCGTTAGCAGTCCCAAGTGTGATTTTCATGCGTTGTACACAGATTCAACAGGCTTCTGGTTTTCCTTGCTAACCAAACTTCCAAACTCATCAACCTGGTGCCAGCCTAATCCCCGTATGCGCATGTTGACCCCTCTTGTTCTGCATGCAGCCAGTGCGTCGCCCTCCATTGCCCGCCTGCTGTCTGTCTGCCACCTTCTCTGCCACTCTCCATCTAGTCATTCGGTAATATTTTGTGAAGGGCTTGCATGTCTGTAGGGTGAAAGTGTTTACAGAAGCATATACAGTATTCCCAGTTAAGGAAAGTGCAAAATAAAGAGTGGAAAAAAACCCCAAACGATTGAAGTTCTCCAGGCACCCTGATTTTGATCCTCATAATGCAAGTTTTCTAGGTGGTAGTTTTTCAGACATGTATTTAATTGGTATCTGAGCATAATTAATGGGAAAAGCTGATAAAGAGCAACTGATTTCTGTGGGCATGCATCTAACGATGCAGCGTAAGCAGTTTTTGGCTGGGCTGGTAGTTTGAAACTCATGAACAAGCAAAAGAAAAGTGTGGATCAGAAGCCTGTGCAATTAATTAACTTACTGATAAAAATGAAAACTCTGCTGCTGCTCCAGAATGTGTGCCCTGCTCTGTTACCCTTTGGCTCCAAACCGCAGCAGCGGATTTGGTCACTCCAGATTGGTAATGTCTGTCCTCCAGAGGGGTTATTACTGGGTTGTAATTTGTACAAGCTGGCTCCCAAACAAAGGCACACGAGTATGTGCAGCTCCTAGGAAGACCCGCTACTGACGCTTACGATCTTGTTCTGGGAAGGAGAGCATGGCATGTCATGCATGTGTGTGTGTCCAAGCTCTGCTCTGCACATCCAAGCAGTCGTGGGTGTTGGGTTTTTCATGTTTTCAGCTCAGTTCCCCTTGGTCAGCAGCGGGCAATGCCTGGCTCCTCGCCACCACATCTCCTTGACTGGACTTCAGGATACAACTCTTAAAGTTTTAACCAAGGCTGTGGAACCATTACCGAGTCTGTGCAAACTTCTGCCCTTTGCCTCCCCGGCCTCTGGCTCATCTGTACCCGCAGCCGTTGCGCGGCGCCGTGTTCCTGTCCCACGCAGCTCGTGCTGTGCCTCCAGCTCCGCGCTGGGTCGCTGCTCAGCACAGATCCCTGCTGCGGGGGGTTCACAGGGAAACAAATGCCTTTGGGTAGCGAGAGTTAATGTCGTGTGCTGTGAACTGTCAGCAGGATCACAAACAGCATTCCCGTGTGCCGCCTGCGAAAGGGTGGCTGTGACCCAGTGGAGAAGGGTTTAAAACCCTGGAGAGGGTGGCTGTGGCGCTTGCTCTGCAAAGGGGTATTGAAACCCAGAGCTCCACCTGGAAGCAGCCTCATAGAACTGCTTCCCATGTGGATGTGGGACCCAGCAGTTCACGCTCTGGTCACTTTACATTTGGACTGGGCAAAAATCTTATTACTGACCAACCCCTCTGTCTGTCTGTACGGACATCACAGATCCAGTACCTGGTGGTGAAGGTTAACGAGTGACTTCTGGAACCCTGGCCCGAAGCGTGGTCTGAGCAGGGGATGTCACTGCCCCAGACTGAATTTTCCAAGGCCTTTGCTGTGTTGTTTCCTAATAACTTGTGTCTCAAATGAAGGCAACAAGTCCTGCAGCAGGGCAGGTGGTGCTTCCAGAAGCAGCATTTGAGAAGAAGTGTCTGCTCTGGTCTTTCCACTCATTTGTTGCAGGGTAGGAGAGGGTAGAAACGTGGGGGTTTGGAGGGAGGGTGGTTATTGTTGTTTAGGGAGGAATGAAAAATAATTTCTGTCTAAAAACTATTAGAAAAACATCACATGGTTTTGCTTCAGGCTAGAACAAAGCATGTGGCATGTGCAAACAAAGCCATTTAATTAAACATTTTTCTGTTGCCATTAGGAGTGTGTGGGCCTTAGACTGGAATGATCAGGGGAAGAGACACGAATGTGGGGCCGGGCTCACGCGGATGTCAGTCCCCAGGCTGGCGTTCCTGCTTCCCGTCCACCTGCTGGACACGCGAGGTGCTGTTAAGAAGTTGTAGCAAATATGTTTTTGTGGTGGATACACACATGCTCCATTAGTAGTCTGATACCAAACAAAAGCTCGTGTCACGTCGATGAACGTCAGGCCGGTGCTGCTGGGAGGAGGTTGCCGGGTACCCGCCTCGTCTGCAGGCTGAGGAATAATTGTTGTAGAAGTGCTTGTTGTCTAGGAAAAGACTTAAAACTGTGCTTTCCATTCCTGGGAGCTGGGATCTCGCCTGAATCTAAAGGAACACAGCTTTGAAATGCAGCAAACGCTTATGAACTGAAACAAACAGAAGTTTTAGGGCTTGTCCACTGACCAAGGGAAGAAGGCTGGGGACCTGCACAGGAGAGGTCTCAGTGATGGCAGGGAGAATGCAGAATATTATATAAGTCTGTTTTAAACCATCACTTGAAAAAATGTACTGAATGTGCATTTTCTTGATAGATTTTTTTGCGTGTGCTACAGTAAATGGTTATACTGAGGATGCACAAAGTTTCTTTCATTTTATGATTTTTCCTGAGACTCCAAAAGCAAAACGCAAGGAGTAGGAGTCAAGAGGTAGGACAGAGCAGAGTGGGGGAGAGAGACAGTCACTCTGGACCTGAGAGACAAGAGAAAACATCTTCTTTCTTCCAGTCAGGGACAAAGGTGGTGAATCCATTGTAAGGATGAGCCGAGGGCAGCTGGAAGGATGCGACATGCCTCAAGTGGCCACTCGGCATTGGCTGCAGGGCTGCGTCTGACGCGCCACCCCTGCCCTGCTCCCGGCCCGGCTGATGGGCCGAATGTTTGTCACACAGGAGCCTGGCCACAGGGGTTTGTCTCACTGGAGGAGCGGTGGTGAAAGCGTAGTGTTGATTCTTCAGCAGTGCTGAGAGAGACCTCAGGGAGTGCCCTTGAGGAGAGGTTTGAAAAGGTTCAGAGCTGCCTTTCACATTTTTAAGAGTCTCTGTTCAAATTTTACCCTCAAGTCTGAGATACGAGACAGCAGTAAGTAAAAACATCAGCAGTAAAGTCAACTCCGGCATTTGTAAAAATCCCATCACTGAAAAAAGTGCTGTGCTGCGTGGGTGTGGAAGGGATCGCCTTTCAGATCCGAGAAGTAGGTGGAAAAGTATTGCCTTGGCCCGGAGGGGGCCGTGCTGACTTTGTGCTCGTCCCATGAGGTGCCCAGCCTTCGTAAAGTCTTAATAACTTAAAATATTCAGGGGTTAAAAATGGCAGTGTAACTCTCCAAAGTAGTTGACTTTGTCGTTGGGTTTTAGTGAGAGAGTTTGACTCTTTATAGGAAGATTCTCCAGTGCCAGTAGGGAGTTAAGTAGTTCTGCAATCTTGTAAGGCAGTAAAGCACGGAAACACGGTTGCAATAAAGCCAAAGATATTAAATAGTGTGAAATCCCGGCTCTTCACGAGGGACAACTCCCCGGTGCTGACAGCTGGACTTGTAATCGCAGGCCCACGTGCGTTCTCCGTGTTTTCCCCAATGACTTCATCCCCGTAACCAGACGAGGCCAGTTCGGTGTGGATGTGTGCGCTAGCAGCATGTCCTGGGAAAGTGTGCTTGAATATTTTTTCAGCAGTATCACAGCAGATTTGATCTGACTCTTTTAATTGCAGATGATGAAGAAAGAGATCTACAAAACGACCTCGTTGACTACAGCAAGCCCCGCTTCAGCGACGGGGTTCTCTAGGGCCTGAAGCAAGCAGGAAACACGGATGAGATCTCCACGGGGGAACTTGAGGTGCTGCAAAACTGAACCCCTTTGACATCAGCGTTTCTGAAAGGAAGGTGATGATGAAAGTGAGGAGTGTCCTCCCAGTCAGCCCAGTATGAGGAGGCAGGTCTGTACATATGTACATAGTTGTACTATTGCAAATTGTATTAAAACGACGTTTCTGTTGTTACGTTGAGCCAACCACTTCGACTGGACCTGATCTGTAATAATCTTTACATTTAAAACCGACATTATAAATACGGGCTGAATTGTTTCTGTAATTTAGAAACCTTTGTAAACTGGAGAACTTGTACAGTTTGTATCTCATGGAACACATCCACGGTGGAAACCATGTACAGCAAAGGACTCCTTTTCTACAGGAATACCCCTATGAGCAGAAATACTCCTGCTTCTCTCGTGAGTGCTGTGGGTTTGTATTTTGCAGGTGAGCTGTCAGTGAGAATGAAAACTGAGTGTTTGAAAAATTGCTCCTTCCTTGATATAACTGAGGAAAGACTATGACAGTCCTGGGAAGCGAGTTTTAGCAAGAACCATTTTAATTCCCGTACCCAGTGACCAAATCTCATAGAGCTGGAAATGGGTGAGAGTAGAATTGTAAGAATTTGATACATCTTTAAAAAATTGTGTAACTAATAGCTGATTTTAAAAGGGAATGAAATAATTCAGCACAGCTTGTAGGAGGTCTTTGTGTAGGTGTTAGAGAGCGTGTTGGTGAGAACCAGACAAGTCCACATCAGCTTTGTGGGAGCCTCCCCAGCAGGAACACCTTTTCCCCTCAGTAAATGTTGTACGCGCTGTTCTGCTGTCTTGGAGCATCCATCCTCTGTTGCCATCACTCCAGTTAATTTCCAGTTTCATACTTTGATACGGATCTCTAAACATCTGCCGTGTTCCACGTTTTGTTTTTCTATATTGGAAGGTTTGTAAGTTAGATACTTTTTGTATTCTGTGTTGAAGCACTTTCTGCATTTTCTGGAAATGATTCTGTTGATCTACAGTAGTGGAAATGAAGGTTCTTAACCCACCCTGCTTCTCCACAAGGGCTACTGTGAAGAGAAACCCTAGGGCCTCTGACGTGGGTGATTGTACTTTTCTCTGTTCTCAGGTTCCCTTTTGAAGTAACAGTTGTGGTTTGCTTGATGCCAGTTCAGTGAAACTTTTAAACAGATTCCAGCTGTCATACCTTTTTTTTTTTTTTGGTGCTACAGGGATGTTCTACCAATCAGTCTTAAATTTATGAGAAATAAAAATTTCAAATTCTGGCAGTGCGTCTCCAGGTTGCTTTATTTAAGGCTTGAACTCGCCATTCCATATTTCTGGGAGGCAGACGGGGAACAGCCCTTTGCACGGTGTGATGTACTTTCAGTTGAAAATAAAATCCTGACCCTGCTCAGAATTAGATCCCGTACTAATAACCACCCAGTAAGTATGAACTCGTACCAGGATTCTAAGAATAGCAGTCGTCAGTAAATAGTGTATTTAAGCACTAAAATTTTTGTCTTAAAAATGTAATTTCACCCTGAATTAGGTGTTAACTTGATTCTTCTAATGAAAACAACATTTATGGGTTCTAATAAATTAAATTGTTTAAAGTATGTGAGGCTTCTGACTTTTTTTTCCTTTCAACTTATTAAACTGGGATGAGCTTTGGGCTTTACAGAAGCGGAGGTGTTTTGACGCAGCAGCAGCGGTCACAGCTGTTCCACCCAGGCCAGCGCCGGCATGGGGATGGAGATGGGGAACTCGCTGGGTGCCTCACAGCTGGGTTTGGCCCAGGCAGGGCAGCACCAGCTCCTGCTCCTGGATGTTCCCTTCACTCCGATTTTCCCTGGTTACTTCTGTCTGGCACAGAATGACGTCATCTGGTATTTCTAGGCAAAATCATCAGATAACTGATGTTGGGAAACAGGTGAATTTATAATTACAGTCTTGCTGTAACTGTCCCAGGCATAATCGATTCCTTCCTGTGTATGACTTTGCTTATGTGCCGCAGGCTGTCCCTTCCTTTCAGACAGCCCCCCTGTTATGCTGCTTGAGGTCTAATGACAGTAAAAATCAATCCACCCTTCACCCCAGCTTTCAGTAGCTGCCACATCGGTTGTGAATCGGTCAGGGAGGCACTGCGCAATGCTCCGTACAGCACACAGCGAAGTTCTGACACCAGGCAAATGCCACCTGTTCCCTTCTGCTGTTTGAAAAGTGTTGGGAGACGGGCAGCAAACTGTCTGCGTGAGCTGTAGGCTGGGTTTGCCTCTGGATTTTGGGACAATACTTGGCTTGAGCAGAGCCCATGGAGGAGCTCAGTGTGATCGTGGTGGGTATCCTTTTAAGGAATCTAGTTTAGGTCACTAAGCTCTTCACTCTTCATTATTTAGTGATCCAATGTTTAAGGAATTTTATTTCTAAGAGGAATTGTTCTGTCAAACAAATTCCACTTTAGTAAAAACCAAAAAGTCTGTGTTTTGGGAAACTGCCCGTGTTTCAAGAGCAATGCTCCTGGCGGTTGTTTGTTCGGGGGTGCCTTTGGCACGGCTGTTCCTGCGCCATCTCCCCTCTCCTGCTGCTTCCTCCGCCCGACCACTCGGTCCCGTATCACCTTCTCCTTCCCAAAACCCCGCAGCCCCTCTCCACGCAGCGGCAGCAGCCTCTTTGGGGCTGCGCTTGACGCAAGACAACAAATGGAGGGATCGTCCTTTGTCAGGAGCCCCTGGAGCTCCCTGTCCTCTGCTGAAGCTGGGATTCGCTCCTTGTAACAACATCCTGGGAAGCAGCGGCTGAATCCTGAGGCAAAGGAACCCCCCGAAAACGGGGCCTGCTTCACCTCCACAGGCTGCTAAAGATCAAACTCGCCAATCGTCAGTCCTGTGTTTCATCAGCCACTGTAATTTTTTTTAATAAATGTGCAGCTTGCCAACTACCTTAACTCCACAGTTCTCATCCCGTCCCGATCTCACCTCTCTCGAGGAAGGCACAGGCCTCCAGAAGTGATCAAACTGATTGCCTTCAGGTGTGTTGAAGAGAACGTGCTGAGCAAAATGCAAGAGATGCACATTTTTCTAATAAAGTTCCATCAAATTCTAGCTCCCTCTTTAAAAACACGAATTGAAAATATTAATCACCCATCTGCCGGGTCCCATGACTGTACCCAGTGTGTTCAGAAGGCAGGTTCTGCTCAGCACCACTATCACCGCTTATGAGGAAAAATAAGAATGACTAAACCTATCTTGATTTTGTTTTTGAAAAGGTAATTTTGAGATCCCCGTGCCATTTCTGCTGAGCCAATACCTGTTTCCATGGAAATAGCAGCACATAAAGCGTGGACAGATTTCAGAGAGAGCCACTTAAACATCTGCTTCCCCGAAACCACCAGCCAGACTCCGCAATCAAACTGGCTCTCCCCTTTGGTGGAGCTGCTTTACATGAAAAATCAAACAAAGCATCTCTGCATGCCGGCCCAGCCCAGATCTTAACAATCCACCCAGACAGCGACAGCAGCGCGCAGCTCCCCGAGTTCTCGCTCCAAGGCTCCTGTTCCTAATAACTCCCCATCCACATGGCCACGCAGGACTAGTTCATCAACGCAGTTAACAGGACCAACGAACCCTTTCAGATCTTTTCACCCCATTTTCTTACATACTTTGAAGTGCTTCATGTCACCTCACACTCCGTGTTGCCGGGTGCTCAGCCCCGTCACTGGTGAGTGAATTCTAAGCGTGGTAAAGACGAGCAGCTGCTTCTCACCACCGCCCAGCCTCCAGCCATGGGGGTGTGAAAAAGCCAGCATGAAACCAGAGTTCCTTCTCACCAACCCACAACTGCCTCAGCCGCCAGGCACACTGCCCTTCGAGAAGCCACGTTAGCTGAATTGTAATACAATCCTTTAACCTGTGAGGAAAAAATGAAGAAAAAAAAAAAGAAAGAAAAAAAAGCACCAGCTGATAAAGGGGGTAGAACATCTTTATTTTGAATGTACTGGAGAAATGAGATTATTTCAGTTATTCCATTTTTTTCTAGAATGATTCCTGATTAGTTCTTTCTACACTTCTTAAGTCCGTGTCACCTTTGCTTCAACCCTGCTTTAGCACCCTGACTCCAGTTCGTTATCACCCCCCCTCTGCAGCACAGCGGGGCTCCCAGGACACCAGCGGTCCCCTGACCCGAGCCAGGACGCCCGGCAGCACCGACTGCTCCCTCCTTGTCCTCCTCTTCAGTGCAAGCGCCTTCAACCACGCCAGAAACCTTAGGGATAACAATTAAAACAGTTTTATAAAAGTAAAGCTTGGAAATCGTATCTGGCAAAAGGTAGAGCAATTGGTGTTTTATGAAATCAGTGAACAGCACATCAGAAAACATTTCTTACCCAAGACCGTGATTGCTGACGTTAATTGTTAGAACAGAAAGCTCATCTGCTTCTTGCCTCGTAAGCCCCGCGTTCCTACCTCCTCCCTTCTGGCACGTTGGCCACGTACACAGCTCTGCAGGCAAGGGTAAGAGGGATTATTCCCGAGAATGCAGAACTTCTGCTAAGAATCTTCACAGAACACTTGGGAAATTGGACAAGAGAGAACCAATTCTCCTGGGCTGTGCCTAAGAGACACTTTTTCAACGTCAAACATCATCCAGAGCTGGGGCTCAGCACGCAGGAAGGACACTTGCATCAAGAGACTAACTTTCAAGTATCTAAAAAAAATACTTTTAAAACATAAGGAACATCCTAACATGATAAATTTTAAACTGAGAAAGTACCTACTCCTGAGTCACTTCTGATCAGCGAGTGACTGTAATACTTGGTTTTCATGCCCAGCCCTGAAGAGAAATCCCACTTGAAGGGACATCAACGTACAAATGGGATATGAACTTTCAAAGCTTATGTGACTGTTCCTCCACTACAGACAGCTCAATCAGGTTGTTAAAATCAGAGAATCAATCTTTCTTTCAGTTTAAAATATGAGTAC